ATCTTGATATATATCATAACATTAATCTCGAAAATTAAACATCTAGCAAAATCAGCTGAAAGCACACCTAAACATTCACTCCACCTTAGAACTCTCTTTTTATAAATAAGAAAGTTCTAACAGAAAACATATACCAACTTACCTAAATAAAACTACAAATTAAACACCATATACTCATTCTAATTTCACTTCTTAGAAAAGTACTCATTTATAAACATATGAGCCACAAAAGAGATACATCAACTTTATTCTAATTACTCTCTATAGTATCATATTCAGACTCAGGCACCAATCTAGAGAAAACCAACAGCAAAAAAAAACATTTAAAAAAAACAAAAAAAAAAATATGCATAACCACAACCAACAATCCACGGACTCGATCGGGATACAGAACTACAATAAACAGACGATCTCTCAAGAGTTCTCTGTTCTTTATGTTTAAAACAAAAAAAAATTATACCTAAAAAAGCACCAATTATACGTTCAACGCTACACCACCAAAACTCTAGTTCCGAGGGAATAAATATCTCTTTTATAAAATTTACACAAAAAAAAAGCAAAAAAACTTATACACTTAGCAGATTATATAACTCTGAACATATATGCTCTCTCTAACAACACAAATATATACATTCTCTCAGACCTCAATAATACCAACACAACATTTATGAACACATATAGAAAATATTGATCTCCATTTCAAATCTGATAATAACTACTAATAATTGGGAAGAATACACTATTAAATTTGAAACCAACCAACTATTTTCATTTAAAATAAACTCTCAATTCAAAAGAGATGCAAACACTTCTTTAGAAATGAATATCACCCACGTCGACTCTCTCTCCCTCCTCAATTAGGTATACACCAATACAACTACAAGTACGAATACTTAACACCATAATTGAATATAGATATATTATACTAAGAATACTCAAAAATTATTACTAAATAAAACAATACAAACTCCCAAAAATACACCGGAACAATATATACACAAACAAATTTAAAAAAAATTAACAAACCACTAAAATTGAGAACAAAACAAGAATTACCAACTCTCTCACATTCAATAGACAATGAACAAATAACATTTGCATTTATAAATGGTATAACGCACTATATAGAACAATTAAAACTCAATGAGAACTACAATTTCCATATCTATTTGCCCAAAATCCAGTATCTCATAATTAATTGAAGAAAACCTACATTATACAATGTTCTATAAACATATCTAATTTAATGGAATACTTTCCATATTTAGTGCTCCTTAAATTTGATTTTGGAATGGATTAGTATAGTTTCTATTTTTTTTATTTATATATTTGATATACTTTCAATTCTCCACAGTCATATAAATTCCGCAGAGATAAATAAGACTCCAAAAAAAAATACCCAGTATAATGATAAATACTCATATAATATGATATTGCCTTGATCATGCAAGAGCCTCCATAGAGGGATCATTTTTAAATATATACTCTCACACAATCAGACCACAATCACGCCACTATTTAGTTCTGCACAGCATCAGAAATGCGAAAAAAGTATACTAATGAACAATACTCATGGCTTCAGAAATACCACATAATCCTTCAACCTAATCTATCACCCAAAGCACAAATATTTGCGTATCCAGCCTCCTTATACCTCGACATTAATTATACCATACTTATGTTAAACCGACTTCGACGCACATATGCTGCGCTCGTGTGTTAAGTTGTCTGAACTCATCTGATTTACAACATCACCTCTAATTACCTATATATTAGGAAGCTATTGCGATAGTGTTAGGCAGGGAGGCGAGGCGGGTGACCGGTGGGTCATAGAGCCATCGGCTCCATATAAAGTGGTGACTGACCCAAGATTTTGGCCTCATTCGCTCAGGCAGAGGGCCCAATTCTACGACACGACGCACGCCCCTCTGCGGTTTCTGACCTCCTACTACGCCGCGCGCCCCGGTTCTTGACAGAACTTACGCAGCACGCGCGCCCCTCGCCTCTTTACCTCCAAAAAAAACCGGATCGACGCTCTCTATCGCATCGAGACCGCAGAGGATATCCTATAGCCCACTCGAGACGCAGCTCTTCTCGCGTCTCTGTAAGCCCACCCTGACATGATATAGCTATCTCTCGCCAACACAAACATCGACGCGAGCTACTCTCACGCACTCGAAGCGCAGACATCCACCAATAGCTGATCTCAATTTGCTCTCACTCCGCCTCAAGCACAGACACTCTGTCGCGCAGCTCGAGCAATGACGCATATCGTGCTGATGTTGCACCGACCAATTACAGAATTTCTCATATGATTCACCAACGCAAAGATCTAGAGCGAACTATTCTGCACGACTACAAAAGTGCAAAACACTGGTATTTCGTATCCGTGCATCATCGGCCAAACTCGCCTTTCGAGTACGCAACCCACTCTCCTCGGCTCGACGTCGCAGACCCATACACAATAATCAGTTCCCACAACCCACCGATGCTTTATATATACCACTTCTTTGCACCCTTTTCTATAACTCTTCAAAAACCTAGAATTGGCAGATCCCATCTCATCCCATCACAACATCCCTACTACTCACCAACAAACTTACCACACACCGATAATAACAACACATCGAATCTCTAGAGCGTTCAACTACCATACCTAACACCCAAAACTCATTTGTCAACAAAAGACTAGGCATAACGCCGCTGAGAACGACATAAAATCTATCTTAGATTGAAAAAGTTTGGATGAAGCACTCAAGTCTCTTCGTCCTTGAGTCTCCAGAGCAGGGAAATCCACTCATAATAGAGTGACAAACAATTGCGTCAACTTCCGACTTACAACCTCAAGAAATAGCGATGAGATTATATCGAAGTTTGGGAAAGTCCGGGTTTATGATATAATGAAATTTATAAAGGGGGGTTTTATCCATAATTATTGGTCCATATGTATGTGGGGTATTGGAATAAATGAGAGGTTGATTGGATGTGATAATAGGAGAAGATTGGCCGGAAGCAGGACTTCTGCGACAAACCCGAAGCGGAAAAAGCCAACATATTTGACAGTTACAACAAATGTCTTGTAAAAATAATGAAGACCAATCATGGCAAAGTATTAGAAATCTTGACGGTTTTATAAGAGAGAAAATATAATTAGAGGGGAGAAAAATCCAGCTCGCAAAATTAACATGCGATCGTAGCTCAGGCATGACTAAATACATCCACCCATAGAAAAGCCGTATGCCATAACCAGACATATCATTATTAAGACATTCCGTATATACTATCGTATATAGCAAACAATCTGCATATTCGCGCATATCCGGTGGCAAGATCGCTCACTCGCACCTCTGTTGCAGAAATCGACGACCACCGATATCAGGGAAAAATGAACCACTCCAAAGCATCAATCGACTTAGTCAATTGAGTATAGCTGGTCTGAATTAACAGACCGTTACAGACAAGTAGCGATGAAAGCTCTTGATTAGGCAATCCTATAATATAATGTGCCAACACACACTTGGCAATATGACTCCTCTAACTGCTTTAGAGCGAGGAGATACCAGGTGGAGATAACTCACCACTATGTGCAGTATCGTGCTTATAAATCAACCCAATATGCTATAGATATCTCGTGTTTGGAAGGGCACGAACTTAAGGTGAATACCTACCATATGTGGATCTATATGACATTACATAACATATGTACTCAACAGCTATCTCCGATATTGCCCAGAGGAGATAAAGGGATGTAATCCTTATGTGCCATTCGTTCTTCTAGTACATTAGTCCTATGTAGATACCCGTTTGGCGCGGCGAAGTAGAGATGACTTCATTGCTTCGGGATGAGATAGATGATGAGCTTCTATTTGATATTAAGTTGGCCGAAGTTTGTAAAGGCTGAAAGTCCCGAAATTCTTATAAATGGAAGTATATTGAATGGTGTTTATGGATGAAGGTTGATATGTGAGATGTAGTCTCATTTTGAATGTTTGATATCAATGAAGTCTTGTCAATGATGTTCATGGCTAGATTAAAATGAGTAAAATGGTATTAGCAAAACCAGAATGATCAAAATTGTTAAACTATATATTATAGAAGAGATGTAGCTGGTTTAAATGTTAAATTTTGCTAAATGCTATGTTTTAGTTAATTCTCATATTTGGTTATAGCTTATTCTCTACGG